CAACATATATATATATATATATATATACATACATATATATATATATACATATATATATATATATATATATATATATATATATATTTTATTCAATTTTTTTCAGCAAAAAGCATGGAGACACGAAAGCTCAAATGAGCTTGTGCGGCCACTCAAACCAAATAAAAACATATACCTACATGAAAATAACAACATAAATGAATATAAAATCGTATAGCTAGCCAATGAAAACAAGTTAAATTAAACCAAACATGAGCAGAAATTACTTAAAACAAAAATGACCATCAAAATTCAAAATTTATCAAATTAAACAAAACAATTGAATTCATATTAGATGTTTATCCTTATAAAATAACTTTATCCTTATAAAATAACTAAATTATATCATGTAAAAAAAATGCCCTTAATTAAGTCAAAAATCGATTTTTTAAATAAGCCATAGTTAGATACTTCTAAAACTAAACACTGTATAAACGACAGTATATATATATATATATATATATATATATATATATATATATATATATATATATATATATATATATTTATATATAAGCATTGCTTCAGGTCTCCATTAATAAAATTGTGTTAAATTAAATTAAAATTAAAAATTAAAATATATATATATGTTGGTAATAGACCATAATTTTTACAATATTCTATAAATTCTACCGAATGTTTGGCGCCAAACATATATATATATATATATATATATATATATATATATATTTTTGCAATATTCTATGGATTCTGCCGAATGTTTGGCGTTAATATGTTTGTAGTTCGTTTTTTCGATTTTTCTCACTAAAGTTTTTTGGTGAACGTTTAGTTTATTAAAATTCAAAATAAACTTATTTTTCGAATTAAAAAAAAAAAATATACAGTAATTTATGAAATCTACCGAATTTCTAGCGTTGAATAGTTTTCATTATATTTCAAAATATTTGAACCACGAAATGTAATAAAAAACTATCCAACGCTAGAAATTTAGTAGATTTCATAAATTACTGCATTAATAATGGTCTTTTAATTGGTAAATAATAATTAGATACTTCTTCGTGACATAAAAAATAACATTAAAATTAATTAAAAATTTGTAATTCAATTGTGTGCGTTACTCGGTATTCATAAGAAACCGCGTAATTGATGTCAGGTTGGACAAACGATATCGATCAACATAATTGAATTGATGTCATATTTGAAATTATACGTAATAATAAATTTGAGATAGTTTCAAAGGTCATTTGAATTTTTTAAATTTTCATCAGAATAGAACAAAGTGAGATTCTTGAAAATGTATTTAACTCCCTAAATTTATTAATAGAAAAGGTTGCTAATAAATATAAGCTAAATATAACTATATAGCTGTGATAATTCGAAAAAAATTTTAAAAATTATTTTCAAGGAAATTTCTAAAAAATTTTAATTATTCACGCATTCTATTTAACAAAATAGAATTATAAAATTAAAAATCAAACATAATTTTTGCATAAATTAATTTTTAATAGCCATTCACTAATCAAAATAAAGTTATCTTTATAATGTAAAAAAACACAGGATGTCGAAGTCAGATAAAAAATAATCTGATTCCGGCCTCCTAAAAAACTACTGAATAAAAAATATTTTTAAACGATTTATCTTGAATTATAAAAATTATAAAATTAAAATTATAAAAATTATGAAAAATAAACTGATTCCGGCCTCCTAAAAAACTACTGAATAAAAAATACTTTTAAACGATTTGTCTTGAATTTTACAAAATTAAACAATTAGCCATGAGACGTTCTATTACAAACGATTTATCTCATGGAATTTTAGACTGGAATCACTCTATGGTATTCTTTCCGTTATGCAGTTTAGTTGATGCGAGAAAAGTTCCTTATCTATTTTAATTGATTGATGCAGGGTGAGTTCGGCAAAAAAGGCTTGGATGATTGGATAAAGAAAATGCTTCTAGATCAACTTTCATGTCAAATACATAATTTCAAATCCTACATTGTACCATTAAATCAATAATTTGTCGCATTTTTTCTATGTTATGATAAATGGTACCAAATGTTCTTTTTCGTAGTTTTTATTTGTTACAAGTTCTTAATGTACTTTTCACATTTAGAACATTAATATATTGTTTATAAGAATAATAAACAACTTTATTCTTATTTTTATGAAAAGCTTTCACAGTATTAAAAACTTTTTTAGTTGAGTCTTTGGGTATTCAAGTCTTTTTGCATACCATAGACATTGAATTATTTTTTAGCTACTTAAAAAAAAAATTTGCATCCAATTCTTTTCAAATTCATTTGCGTGTAAGTTTAGTCCATCAGTATAATTTTCTATTGTCTTGTTTAATTTCGAGATGTCGTCAGATAATTGCATTGTTTGTAACAAAGTAGTATCCTCAAGGCATCCATCTTTGACTTGTGATGTATGTAACCGATGGTGTCATCGGAAGTGTGGAACAGGTTATTCAAGCTACAGGTACACCACTGCTATCAAGAGTAAGAATTTTTTTTCTAAATAATTTTTTAGTCGCTTATTAGTGTGAACTGTAAACCGCTGATTAATTTTTTTAATAATTATGAAAATTTAGTTAAATTTTAAAAAAGGTTGAAATTCATATTCAAGAGTTTTTCATCTTTGTTGTGCCGTTGTGTTCAAAAAAAATGCAAATTGTGAATAGGGTTATAATTTAGATTAAAATGTCAGATACTTGCATTTGAAGGATTATTTATATATCCTCTTACCACGTGATCTTACCACATGGATTTATCACGTGGGTGTGTGTACCATGTGGATTTACCACGTGATAAGAGGAGATAAATAGCCAATTCCGACAATTAATTTAGAATTCTAAAACTCATGATTGACATACAAAAAACTGCGTGTTATTTAAAACAGTTTATTAATTTTTACAGCACCATATTATTTACAATTAAGTACATTAAGAAATTTTACAGGAGTGTGCGTCTAGTTCAACAAATATATATAAAAAAGTAGCAGTAGCGATTTTCGAAATGCAAGCAGTGGTGGCGACACTACTTTTCACTTGCAGTATCGTTAGAGATGCTTCTGAGTTGCGCTGACTTAACATCATACACTGCAAAGATTATTACATACTTCAATGTTAACAAGCCTGTACGCACATTATGTTTATGAATTATTAAATGTCTAGAATATAAGCTATAACTCTACATACATGCACTTGCTAATGAATGATTTTGCAACGAGAATTGAATCGAATTAATTAATTAATTTTATAAAGCTTGCCAAAATTTGGCAAACATAAAAAATAGAATAACATAGTCACAGATTTATGCAATTTTTAATGTTGAGCTTTTTACCACTTACGTTATTGTAAGTTTTTAGGATTCTTCTCTCTAAAGCGCGTGCTTATCTAGGTGTTTTTTCATATTCAATCTTACATAATCTTCTCGTTTATTTCGAAAATAGTTGTAAAAAATGAATGGTTTATTATTAAATAATACGTTATTAAATATTTTTAAAGTGTAAACACCCAAAACATGAAGAAAATGTTGAACTAAAGGTAAGACTAGTGTCAATCAATCAATCAATCAATCAGTGTAACACATAATACATAAATTCAATGCATTCGTGCATACACAGAGCTTGAATTATTTTATAATTGCTTAAAAATGCATTAGCATGGCAACATAGTCATCCAAATTAAATTATTCTCATTTGAAAAATATATCATGAATTGTATACTAGTTCAAGAGTTGATTTTAAATTTGATCTGAAAATTATCTTAAATTCAGATAAAGAAGAATTGCCTTACACTTGCCACAGTTGTGTAAAAGTTGATAAAGAACCGAACCAAATGGAAGGATTCCAACTGCCTCTGGATCCCTCAAATCCAGTACTGAATTCCACTGAAAGGAATGGCATACACATATCAGATGGAAACCTTGAAGCAAACATCCTTGTTTCAATTTTTAATGAACCCTCAATATTACAACATCAAAACTCAGATGAAATAGTTGACAGTGGTCCACGAGAGAGAACTTGAAATTGTTGAAAATGCAACAAAAAGAGGTGGCAATCATTTGGTGAGCAGTGATGGTTTTTATTTTACTATAAAATCAAAGACAAAAGGTGGAAATGTAACATGGGTGTGCACCAAGAAAACAAGTGGCTGTAAAGCCAGAGTTATTGAAAGCAATCACTGCTTTGTTTCCAAGCAAGAACACACATGTTCTGCAACCACTGGAGCTGTGCAGTTGGCTAAGATAAGAGCTGCTACATACCAAAATGCTATAGATAAACCATTTATGTCTGCTTTAGAAATTGTAAAACAGGTAGATTTGTTGCCATTCAAATTTTACATAACCATTAAAATAATCATTAAGACTTTTACTTTAAGGCCATAACAGAAAATGTTGGAAATGATAGGCCATTTGACCTGGTGAAACCACAACACCTTGCACGTAATGCAAATAGATACAGAGAAAGAAAATTGCAGAACAAATAAAAATGTGGAAGGCTGGCGTAATTGAATTGACAAATTGGTTGATGACTTCTATTTCATTTAACATTTAATATACTACAAACAATAGAAATCCGAATGCTTAAAAATAAACTTAGGACCAGTCATTTATAAATAAATTGACATCTGATCATCCAAACTAATTTAAGAACTGTTAATAATAAACCAATCGTCTAACTAAATGTATTAAATAATAATCTAAATAAATAATAACAACCAATCAATCAAATATTCTATAAAAAAAAATTTCTATGATGAGCTGCTCAACGAATTTTAAAAAGATGGGTATTGAGATCCAATCCAAACTTTCTATGTGAAATCTAACAGTCTCAAGAGAATAATATGATCAACAGTATCAAAAGCAGATGAAAGTCAATAGCAAGAAGAGTAAGATACTTTTGTCCCAAGAGAAGGATATCATTATGACTAAATTTTAATCATTAAATTTTAAAAGGTCATGAAGTCAAGGCACAACCATCCATTAATAAATAAATTCAGAGGGCCAACCATCTTTACTTTGGGGACCACTCCTAAATAAATAAATACAAAAATGAAAATAGAGACCATGCATCCTAGTAGGTACCAAACATCTGTAGGTAGGTAGAAGGTAGAGATGTAGGTAGAGTAGAGGGTAGATCCAACTCTTCAGAATCTTCTACTCTTTTCAGTTTCTTAACTCTTGCTTTTCTACTAATTTACTTACTAATCAAAGTGTGCAACGTAAAAAATTTATTGGATTTAAAATAAAAAAATAAGCTCACCTGAAGAAAATGTAAAAAAAAATAAATCTATCTACTCAGTTCAGATTTCGCTTTGAAAAGACATGTCACAGTAAAAAAAATTAAACTATATATAAATAAACATTTTAAAAAACTAAACGTAACTTAGCATAATATTTAGAGTTCATTTAAAAGAAATATAAATTTTAAATCTTTTTAGAACTTAAAATATTTCAATACCATATAATGTAAAATATTTATACTTAATACTAATTATATTTTAAATTAACAACAAACAATGTAATTAACTGTAAACCATTATAATAATATATTACACAAAATTTATTTTGAAAAAGTTTAAATTTGTATAGTCGAGTTGTTGACATTTTACTAAAGTTAAAAAAAAGCAGTAAAAGATATGCACGGTTGGATTAAGGAACATATAGAGCGATAATAAAGTATCGGTAAAAATGGCATAAAAATGATTGAAACAAATAATTTCTTCATAATTAATTTTTTTATTTGAAAAATATTATAAAAAATAAATTTTCTACTTTATTTAGGTTTTTTTTACACACATATTGCCCACTATCACACATGCATAAAGAATAAAATACACGTACTTATAACACCTATAGTAGCCCTCGGACGAACTCTCGCACATTTTTAGAGGCTTGTTCATGTTCATGGATATATATAATATCTTAATTATATCCATGGGCTGGTCTCAGACTAGTTTCAATCAATCAATTAGCTTGTAAAGCGCTATTTCCGCGATGTTCAACAGCGCTCCTCAATGAATTTTGAAAACAGATGGGTCTTGAGATTCGCTCTGAACTTCGCAAGTGATGGAGAAGTAGTCAGAGAAGTAGGTAGAGAGTTCCAGAGAAAAGGACCAGAAAAAGCAAAAGCAGATTTGGCAAAAGAGTGTTTAACACGAGTTAAGAAAAAGCGAAAAGAAGACGATCGTAAACCGGGGCGTTTAAGTTCAATTAATATATCTGATAAATACTTAGGAAATAATTTAGATTCGATAACAATTCCTCATCAAACTCCTCAAATTTTAAAATTTTAATATTTTTTGTTAATTATATTTATTAATAAATATTTATTCCTTTTTTAAAAATTTTATTCGTTTTAATTATTTAAAAATTTTTTTTATGCTGTTACATAATATTTATGCGTATTTAGTATCTTTTTTCTGGTGTACGTATAACCATGGATATGTATATATATCCATGCGTATAACTGATATGAGCTCTTCGTCCCTGATAAAAATAGTTACTATAAGAAATGAACTATAGCACTTAACGTTGACCTAGAAGTGTTTGTAATATGTAATATAAGAATTTGCAATGTTCATCCGTGTATTGAATGTGTGTGTGACGTCAATGTTGCTTTTGAATGAAAGATACCAGTGCCACAAATTGACACGTGACGCTGTATATGGCCCACAAAGAGTGCCGCATACAGTTTTCAAGCAGATAAACATTATATGACTATAAGCGAAACTGGCATTAAATACAAATAATTCTTAATATAAGTAGTTGAGAAAACCTTATAAACTTTGTTAATTAGATAAATTTAAAAACCCGGTGACTCGTAAGATCCAGCTCGATGAACAGTCAACTTTGTAATGCTATTTTCAACAACACAGACTATGAGCGATAAGATAATACCTAACAGTTGAGCTGATAGCTCGTGCCTACAGTTACGCCTGCAACAGAATTAATTTTTGTGATGATGCGTTTGATCAACTTGTCAGAGCAAGATGATGTTCAATCTGTTTTGAATGCTGCTTGTTGGCGTCTCGAAGTTTGATCCATTGTACCAATAAATCAGAGGTGAACAGCACTTTACTGGCGGCAAAAGAAGCAATGACGTCACGCATATTACTGAGTATTAAATTCAACCTCGCTGGCCGCGGCTTTCGTCAGGCCACTCCTAGTGTCGGAATGCGTTACCTCCTGAGTCGAGACAATGTTCCTCGTTGAGTGTTTTTAAAAAAGTTTTAAAGACTCATCTTTTCAATACAGGCTCTGAACGCCTTTGAAGCAGCTGTGCGAATCGGTGCTGTATAAATGTTTATATCGTTATAATAATAATAATAATAATAATTATTATTATTATTATTACTTCACTCCAGCAGGTGATCGTTTACCAGCGTACAAATAGAGTGTAGTGACGTCATTGCTTCCAGGTCACCGTTCAGATCAAACGCTCCATTTCACTTCTTTTGTGTAGTTCAATGTTCGGTACTGTTTCTGTTCAAATAACCAGTGCATTCAAAAATATTTTACATCAGTTTTTTAATACACTTTTAATTTCTGATACTACGATAAAATTTGATGGACACTTTTTGGCGAAACCATTACAATAATTATTGTTGTAAAACGAAGAAAAAAATAATCTACTAACACTGAGGTAGAAAAATTTTTTAATTCTATCTAAATCAAATTAATAAAAGAGTTTTTCAAAAAATTCACCAACTAAAACTATAAAAACCCCAAAAAATTTAACGATTTCAAAATTTGAAAATTTTGAAATCCTTTAATTCTAGAAGGATATAAAAATGGGCCAACATAGACTGTAGGCTACGATGCAGTGCTGCCTGATGTTGCAAGGGTGTAAGCGGGAGTTCGCATGAATTCTTCAGCGCATCACAGACGCATGTGGTAGGTGGAGGTCTTTGCATTTGAACCCAGTTGCTACAATAGCAGAACCAAGCTCCTTAAGTAGTTTATTTATGTAAGTCTTTGAAGTTTAATCGCAGTTCATTATATGAACTGAACATTGACAAACCATGATCTGTAAACCATAATAGACATTTATAATGTTTCAACAACGCAACAGTTGCATAGTTTTCAAAAATTGTAAAAACATGTCGACACAATTTTTCTCCGTCATCCGTGCTCGTCGATTGAAAATTGAATTGTCGTGTTTGACTGGCAGTGGAATATGCACCTGCTTCACGATGCGTGTGTTTCCAGTGCATTCCTTCATTCAGTCATTCAATCATTCATTCATTCGATCGTTCGTTGACTAATTAATTAATTAATTAATTAATTTGTTAATTAATTTATTTATTCATTCATTTTGGTTCGTTCATGTTTTCCGTTTGTTAATTTAATCATTTATTGAAATCCGAAATAGACGTCCCGCTACAGCCATTATCCTACTACTCGTTTCTGGGGCCATTCATTTGTGAACGAATATATATTATATATACATACACACACACACACACACACACACACACACACACACACATATATATATATATATATATCAGATATAAATTATATATTTTGCATATATTTGTGTGTGTATGTACTGGATATATACAATATATATATATATATATATATATATATATATATATATATATGTATATGTATATATGTATATATATATATATATATATATATGATGGTAGTATAAAATGGTTTTCAAATCATTCGTTGTCCTTCCAACGTTTAAAGAAGAAAGATGTGTTCGAACTTTCAAATGGCTTCAAAAAGATTAACGTCAGTTTTACTCATCATTGTCATCTTTTTCATTTTTTCCAACGGGTTGACACATAACAGCAGCAACAACAACGTCAACAACAACAACAGCAACAACAACAACCACCACAACAACAACAACACATCCTCTATCCCGTCTTCAACAACACAATCCTCTGATCCTGACTCGGACGATTACGACGATCGGGACATCAGCACTCTCACTACCGTCGGCCGTAAGGGAAATGGATCTGATGACGTCATTTATTTAAATGGCCGGCCTGCCGACGTCATCAACGCATCTTGGCACAATGAAACGATATCTCAGCGGCCTCTCCACTTCAAGATTGGATTCCTGGCGCCGTGGAATGCAGCGTTCGAGGACTTCAGCGCCCTCACTAGTGCCAGTGCAATCTCTCTGGCCATCGAGCGCATACACAACGATCCGACGCTCGCAAACGTCATGAATTTCAGGTTCCGTCTATTCTGGCTTTCATTTACGGAAATAATCTACCAAATAACCAATTAATTTACAATTTGCAACAGCTACTACTACTACTAATAATAATAATAACAACACTAACTACTTCGCTAACTTCACCACCACCACTACTACTACTACTTTTTCTACTACTATTACCACTTTTACCACTTTTACTACTTCTACTATAACAACAACAACAACTACTACTACTACTAATAATAATAATAATAGTAATAGTAGTAGTAGTAGTATTAGTAGAAGCAGTTCTAGTGGCAA